AAAAACAAAATTAAAAATTAAAAATCTTAATGAGTTGCTACTAATGCTTAACATATTGCCTTGATACTTTTTTTTCTTTTTTTAATTTCTTTTTTTATTATGCTCAGACTCTCTGAGTCTAGAATTTAAAGAATGCAAGAGAGCTCTTTTTTCTGTTCTCTAACAGCCAGGCAAAGCTGAGGAGACTCCCATGGCTGGTAGTGGGGTGCTCTGTGCTAGAATCATTCAGAAGCACCTTCACTGACTGAGGGCACCAAATGGGGCCAGGATGGGGTACTCACAATCACCTCCCTGTGGTCTGGGCTCCCATGTTTTCTCAACACGATGACTCGGGTTTCTGTTTCTGAGTCCTCCAGCTGGCAAGGTGGAAAATAAATCATCTTTTTGTTTTTGACTTATTTGAGATGAAATTCACATTACACAAAAATAGATATTTTAAGTGCTCAATCTATTGGTATTGAGAACATTCCCAGTATTATGCAATTACTACCTCTGTATCATCTCAAAACATTTTGATCACCCCAAATTAAAATCCCTTCCCCATTGGGCAATTTGAATCCCCTTTATGACCTAGTTTGAGGTTATATAGCATCACCTCTACCACATCCTATCCGTCATAGGCAAGTCACAGGTCCTTTCGGATTCAAGGAGAAGGAACTAGCTTTCATTTTGGATGTAGAAATAGAAGGGTCTGCATTATTTTGGATGGAATATGTTTGGATTAATTTGCCACAGCCAATCCTCTATTCAGACAAATTTACATTTCATAAGTATGAAAAATACACTTTCCCCATCCTAAAATTCTCCCAAATCTCCCTCCAACATGGCATACGCTCAGGCATGGTGTCCAGGATCTTATCATCAGATGCAGAAAAAGATGATTTACTAGTCTTACATTTTAAGTGTCATTCTTCTTGATCCAAGGCCTTGTGAGCTATTAGGATAAATTGCTTTTCCCACACATATCCAAAATACAAGCATGAGACAACCACCATAGATTCTTCTACTCACAAAGGAGCTAAACAAGGAAGAGCACATGACAGTCACTAG